TATAAAATCCATCAACATCATCCACCACATCAACAAAAAGGATAAAAAATGCATGATCATCTCCATAGATGCTGAAAAAGGTTTTGACAAAATTCAACATCCATTCATGATAAAAACTCTCAACAAAATGGATATAGAGGGCAAGTACCTCAACATAATAAAGACCATATATGAGAAATTCACAGCAGACATCATACTTAACAGTGAGAAGTTGAAAGTCTTTCCTTTAAGATCAGAAGCAAGACAAGGATTTCCACTCTCTCCACTTTTATTCAACATAGTTCAGAAGGTCCTCACCGCAGCAATTAGACAACACAAAGAAATAAAGGGCATCCAGATTGGTAAGGAAGAAGTTAAACTGTCGCTGTTTGAAGATGGCATGATATTGTACTTAAAAAACCCTAAAGAATCCACTCCAAAACTATTAGATCTAATATCTGAATGCAGCAAAGTTGCAGGATACAAAATTAATACACAGAAATCTGCTGCATTCCTATACACTAACAAAGGACTAGCAGAAAGAGAAATCAGGAAAACAATTCCATCCACAATTGCATCAAAAAGAATAAAATATCTAGGAATAAACCTAATCAAGGAAGTGAAAGACCTATACTTTGAAAACTACAAGACACTCATGTGAGAAATTAAAGAAGATACCAATAAATGGAAACACATCCTGTGCTCATAAATAGAAAGAATTAATATTGTTAAAATGTCCATCTGCCTAAATCAATCTACAGATTTAATGCAATTCCTATCAAAATACCAACAGCATTCTTCAATGAACTAGAGCAAAACATTCTAAAATTCGTATGGAACCAAAAAAGACCCTGAATAGCCAAAGCAATCCTGAGAAGGAAGAATAAAGCTGGGGGGATTATGCTCCCCAACTTCAAGTTCTACAGCAAAGCCACAGTAATCAAGACAATTTGGTACTGGCACAAAAACAGACCCATTGACCAATGGAACAGACTAGAGAGCCCAGATATAAACTCAAGCATATATGATCAATTAATATATGATAAAGGGGCTATACACATACAATGGGAAAATGACAGCCTCTTCAACAACTGGTGTTGGCCTAACAGGACGCCCACATGCAAGAGAATGAAACTGGATTATTGTTTAACCCCAATACAAAAGTAAACTCGAAATGGATCAAAGACCTGAATGTAAGTCATGAAACCATAAAACTCTTAGAAGACAACATAGGTAAAAATCTCTTGAATATAAACATGAGCAACTTTTTCCTGAGTGCATCTCCTTGAGCAAAGGAAACAAAAGCAAAAATGATCACATGGGACTACATCAAACTAAAAAGCTTCTGTATGGCAAAGGACACCACCAACAGAACAATAAGACATCCTACAGTATGGGAGAATATATTTGTAAATGATGTATCTGACAAGGGGTTGACAGCCGAAATATATAAAGAACTCTCATACCTGAACACCCAAAAATCAAATAACCCAATTTAAAAAATGGGTGGAGAATATGAAGAGACAATTCTCCAAAGAAGAAATTCAGATGGCCAACAGACACATGAAAAGATGCTTCACATCACTAATCATCAGGAAAATGCAAATTAAAACCACAATGAGATATCACCTCACACAAGTTTTTAATGCTGGACAGCCAGCATTAAAAAAGACTAAGAGCAACAGATGCTGGAGAGGATGTGTAGAAAGGGGAACCCTCCTACACTGCTGTTGGGAATGTAAGCTAGTTCAACCATTGTGGAAAGCAATATGGAGGTTCCTCAAAAAACTAAAAATAGAAATACAATTTGACCAAGGAATTCCAATCCTAGGAATTCACCCTAAGAATGCAGGAGCCTAGATTCAAAAAGACATATGCACCCCTATGTTTATCGCAGCACTACTTACAGTAGCCAAAAAATGTAAACAACCTAAGTGCCCATTAGTAGATGAATGGATAAAGAAGATGCGGCACATATACACAGTGAAATAATATTCAGCCATAAGAAAGCAAATCCTACCATTTGCAACAACATGGATGGAGCTAGAGGGTATTATGCTCAGTAAAATAAGCCAGGCAGTGAAAGACAAGTATCAAATGATTTCAATCATCTGTGGAGTATAAGAACAAAGCAAAAACTGAAGGAACAAAACAGCAGCAGACTCACAGAACCCAGGAATGGACTAACAGTTACCAAAGGGAAAGGGACTGGGGAGGGTGGGCAGGAAGGGAGGGAGAAGGAGAATGAGGGGCATTGCGATTAGTACACATAACATAAGGGGGCGCATGGGGAAGGCAGTATAGCACAGAGAAGACATGTAGTTACTCTATAGCATCTTACTACGCTGCTGGACAGTGACTGTAATGGAGTATGTGAGGGGGCTTGATAATGAGGGGAGTCTAGTAACCATAATGTTGCTCTCATGTGATTGTTGATACCAAAATATTCTTAAAACTGAAGGAGGAACACATTTCAGTTAAAAATATAGGAAAAATGATTTGGGTAACATGAAAGAATGAGCTTCTATTTATTGTTAATGACTGGAACCCCACCTAATCCAGCAAAAAGAATTTGTATGTGTCATTCTGTTTTGGAAAGGGGACAAATATATGTGTTATAACCTAGAGGGACAAGGCTATGTACTCTTTTAGTTGGATAGTTATTCTCTAGAGAGTATCTAATGCTCTTACAAACTCTACTCTTCAGCTTTAGACATTATATAAATTTAGACAATTAGTGATTTCCACTTTCTCTCCTGTCTTCTTAATATATAGCATCATTTTTGGTTAAACAGGCATTCAGTGTTTATACTATTAAATATTATGGAACAGCTGAAAAAAAAAACATCTAAAGAAACACTCCATGTAAGTGGAGCATGGATGTTTTATCTGACTGAATGTTGAAGGTAATCTGCCCTAATGGAATGAATTAGTTTGATTGCATGGGATAGGAAGAAGAAAAGAGAGAGGGAGAAATATGAAATTGGCACCACTCTTAGGCCACTGAAAGCAGCCAGCCTCAGAACCCAAGGCCTTGTGAGTACTTTGAATTGCTTGGGAAAGTGAGGAAAGATGTCAGAGATCACTTTGAGCCTCTTTAATTTTAGCCCTTATTTCTACATAGCCCACATTTTCAAAAACTGCATGTCATATTAAGTTCCAGAATTGTTCCTTTTGACAACCCCATAGGACCTATACCTGAATGCATGTCCCTTTGTAAGTCCCAAAGTATGCAATGAGGAAATGTTTGGATGCAATAGCTGGGCATCATTCATACATTATGAATAATAAACTATACTTGCTTAGGAAAATAATAATCATTGAAATGAGCAGGTGATTTGTGGGCTATTCCATGCAACAAGGCTGAGATGGAAATAGCTGCTCATGTCCCAGGCTGTCTCATTTCTTATATCACTCTGCTGAAGTGCATGTCTTGCTGCTGCCTCGTAATCCTAGCCTTTAATGATAAGATTTATTACATGATGTTGGCCCCTAAGAACACACAATAACTGCTTCCTCTGAAACTTACCAAAAGAAATGGTTGCTTGTGACCATGCAGGAGGCAAAACTGGCTGTACTGGGTCTAGAGAATTTCCTAAAGAGTTCTCAAGAATGATTTTTGACTATGGTGATTTTTTACCTTACATGTTGACTTGTGAACCTAAGCTTCATGTAAGAGTCAACTTTACTGTATTAGCAATATCTCGAATATTCATTCTTTTTAATTTTTTTATGTAAGTATCATTGATATACAATCTTATGTTGGTTTCAAATACACAACACGGTGATTCAACAGTTACCTATATTATTAAATCCTCACTCCTCTAATGTGGCTACTATCTATCAATGTAGTAAGATGTTACAGAATCATTGACTATATTCTTCGTGCTGTGCTACTGTCCCTATAAAATTCATTCTTTCACCCAGAAAATACTTAGCGAGTTTCTACTGTGTACCAGGTACTAATACAAAATCTGAATGACCTCAACAAACTTAAATGGTACTAGATCCCAGATGTTTGTTGCATGCTGAAAGCATTTTTGTTGGCATTGTCAATGAAAAGCAGACTAAGATAAATTTGCACTAAGTCTCAGTGTCCCACCTAGAATATGGTACAAGATCTTGAATGTCTATATAAAATTATTCTGATTTTTTCACAGAGAAAATTTAAGTAGATCTATATTAGATGACTCACCTGTTATCATGTGAACTGTATTATTAATATGTAGTCAAAGAGTAAAATGAGTGATAAAAATAAAAATTCAGCCTAGTGGATACCTTAAGGAGTAGGAGGGGACATGATCAGTAAGAAGCACAGGTGAGTAAACTATATGGATAATATTTTCTTTCTTAAGCAACATTTTGAATTCATGAGTATTCACTGGCTTATTTCTTTATACATCATAAATATTGCACAAAAATTTTCCAGAATTAAAAAAAAACCCAGAGAGGAAAAAATTAATGATATGCTTGGGAATGGAAATCAGGTTATAAAATCCCTAAAATATTTAATGTATCTTTTCTTGTAAATATGGATGTAAGAAAGAGTTCAGTTCAGGCTCATCTGTTTCCAGCATGGTGTTTCTCTCTACTGGTGAGACATTTTAAAAATTATTTGACTTGTTCCTAGTTTAAACCGTTTGTCCAGTATTCAAAATTCATGGCCAAAAACATGCATTTTTGAAATTGCTCCATGCACTCAGCCCTGGCTCCTAAAGCATTTTAACTGTGGTTTCACTGGGGAAGATGGAGTGATTTTCCCAGGAAGGAGGAGGCACAGGGGGAGACTAAAGAATTCTCAGGCTGAAGACACGCTGCGATTGGCAGGAAAGGCCTGCTAACTCTTGCTGAGTGAGCATCTGTTTTTACCTGATGGCCATCGGCTTAGAAAGACCCACTACCAGGGTATATTTTGTAAAGGGGAAATTGACTGAGGATCAAGAGAGCTAGAATTTGAAGTCAATATTGTCTTTGCTAATGCTTTCTCTTTCCCTCTTTTTTTAAAAACACTTTAACTGCAGTGAAGGGAGCAATCTGACCCCAGCACATCACTACCCAGACTTCAGATTTAAGACATATGCTCCACTAGCATTCCGGTACTTCAGAGAACTCTTTGGTATCAAGCCTGATGATTACTTGGTAAGAACCTGTCATTTTCCTCCCTTCTTCAGAAACGTGTGATATAAACATTTGTCTCATAGCAACAGTGACAAGTGGGTTGTTTCTCTTACTTTATAAGACTCTGGAGCATAGTAAAAGTTCCAGATTTTATAATGATTATAAATTTAGCTTCAGGAAATGCGACTTGATGCTGCAGCATTTAACTAGTAGCTACAAAATCTGCTAAGGCAATTGATATTTAAATAGCAGTGGTATTGGTTGCTATTTTAGATAATTATTCCAACAGATATATTATAATTAGTTCTAAATACTCCTGTGAATTTTACTGATTGGATTCCATTTGGAAGCCTTTCTGTTTTAATTATTTATACCATTCATCTCAAACCTGCCTTGGTCCACAACCGTGAAACGATTGTGAAACGGGACCATTTTAAAGAAGCTGGGTAGTTTTGTTCTCCGCATCTCTTCATACAGGTTCTCTTAAAATGTATTTTTATTAGGTACAAAGGCATATTTTATCCTTAGACCTGTCTTCTCTGTCCATTTGCCTTCTGGCATGCAGCAAGTACAAACACAACAGGCTTTTTGTGAGGTAGACTGATGTGATCTCAGATTTTTACCTTATTCCTGTTCAAGGAGCCAGCAACTTCCTGTCTTCTTTAAAAGGAAAATGGTTTATTTCATAATCTGATCACTCTTCACACCCTGGGGCTCTTTAGAATTGGTTTTCAAGAAGATGTAGGAAGGATGCCATCAAATACTTATTGTCTACCCCATTCCGCATAATAAGAATAAGAATATTTTAATAAGACTTGAGCCAGATCTTGGAATAACGCATTGCAGAGAAAATATAGCAATATTTGGTACTTACAGCAGACTACTTAAACTGCATCTTATAATTTGGGAAAGATATAAATAAGTAAATTCAAAGCTGATTCTGTTCTGTGCTAATGAAAACCCATGAATGACCCTCTTCTTTAGTTGGCCCTAAGAAAATCATGTGACTTCAGCCTGGTTACATGGTAAATCCTAACTCCTCGAGGTGCATTAATATATCTTTGTAGAGCAATGAGAACCGAGTACAAAGTCCCTGCACATCTTGCGGCTCTCAAATGTAGCTTTCTGCCTCATGTGTCGGTTTTATTGGGATATCAGATGCCTCTATCCGGACTACCAACTCTGCCTTCCCAACCACTCCAGTACACACACACACACACACACACACACAGCTGGGGTATGTATGGGTGGGTGTGTATCAGAGACGATTCTCTGGATTCTGGTCATTCTATAATCACTGTCATTCAGGTAACATGTCTGGGGAGCCCAGCGGGGTCCTAATACTGTATTATTGAAAGGAGATTATTCTCTCATCTTCTGCCACACACTAGAAATTAATGGATTCCCCCTCTGAGTATTATCCTTTAGCTTCTGCCAGCCAAGGAGGTGCTATAGACTCATTTCCAAACACAGATCCTGTCTGTACTGGGAGGTTCTGCCTGGCTGCCCTTCCCGCAAGTACTCTCTCTTTAGCCCTCTGGTGGCCATTGACCTGCAGTCTGGGAAGCCTGTACTTGCACCATTTTTCCTCAAAAAATCGCTTTCTTTGTGGAAGGCCTTTTTTTCTGAGAAACAACTCACATGGTTTACACAGTTTCCTAATAAGCCCTTAAGCTAGAAGAGTTACTTTCACAATCAAGTTAGAATATTTACAAAAGAACACAGGAGACTAAGCCAATGGCTTCTCAGAGCACAAGTCCTTCTTTGAGTACCTGGCAAAAAGTAAATTGATTGATCATCGGGTACTGTGAACACCTATTGTAACTAAAATACTGTGCTAATAATTATAGGGAGATGCAGAAAATTATAAATAAGCCCAAGACAGAGAACTCAGATACAGTTGGAAAGATTATTGATTTTACTGATTTACGTGGGCAGACAACCTACTCTATTTACTTAAGTGGTACATAAAATGAAGCGAAACAATAAATGCTTGAGGTTTTCTCTCTATTGGATTGATTAGGAGGGCTTCTTACTGAGCATGGTATGGTTAACTGAATTAAAAACTACAAGGGATTTAAGTAGGTAGAAAAGAAGGGAAAGATGTTCAGATGTTCGGGGAGCGGAGGGCAGTGTTAGGATTCTGTTAGCCCAAAGATGCAAATGCATTAAAAATGCAATTAATGCAAAAGCTCTAACTGTTTAGAAGGACTTTGGATGGACCAGATGACAAGAGGGGAAGGTTTTGATCAGGCATAATAGAAGGACAAGGCTAGATAATTCAAATAAACAGGTCTTTCTTTTTTCAAATTGTAGGAAATTGGTGAAATGCAGAGATAGACTAGATAGTTGACAATGTTGAGGAATTCTTTTATTTTTTAGTGGAATAATGATATTGTGGTTCTGTTTTAAAAGAAGGGTCCTTGTCTTTTAGAAACATATACTAAAGTATCTACAGATGAGATGACTGGATGCCTGGGATTTGCTTCAAAAGAGTCTGAGGGAAGTGGGCAGGGGAGTGATTGGGGGTGCGAAGGAAACAAGATTGGCATGAATTGATCATAGTTGAGCTGAAAGATAGACACATGGATATTCATTACACAATTCTCTTTATTTATATGTATGCTTGAAATTTGCCCTAATAAAATGGGTGGGTGGAGATAGAACCAGTCAGGTGACTGTACTTTGTTTGATTCCATTTTTCCACCTCCCTTATCAAGCATACACACAGTTGAATAACTGGACCCATCTCTAGGATCTGCAGGAAACAGAAAAAGGCCGAATGGTTCTCTAGCTAAACATGGCTGTCAGATCTCCAGCAGCCTGGCCACCTGCCTGCCCTGCATTGGGACACTCACTGGGAACAGCCCAGAACTGAAAGAGCTCCCCAGTAGGTCTTGGAGTTTCTAGAAGCTCACCTCCAAACCACAGTGATCTGGAGGGTAATAGACGAGGAAAGGGTTTTTAGCAATATGCATTTTGCTTCAGAGAGTCAGGTTTAACCCACAGAGGCTTTTTTAGCCCAACAGCTCATTGTAGATGAGAAACCTGAAGCTGGGGTCAGGGAGGAAGGTGCCTAAGGTTACCCACATTCATTGGGACAAGCTCAAACCAGACAGTAGTCTCCAGTCCTTCCCCCTGTTCTTTTCCCTTCACCAGCTGGCCTCATGCTTCCAAACCCACTGAGTCTCAGACCTCTCATTAAATGTGGTCCCAAGTTATCCAATTCCTAGCCCATCAGACTGTGAACTGTAACTATCCATTCTGAAGAATGCCAACACCCCTTACAAAGCACATTCTGAAAGAGGTAAGCCCAAGTAAAGCACAGAAAAATGAAATAAGACATCCCTTCAACAGCTGTGTGAAGAAAAAAAAGATACAGTGCAAATCACAAAGTACCTCCTAGCATCTATCAAAGTGAGGCTCTTTAAACCTGTATTTGTGAAATATACTGATCTAAGTGCGGGAGGGAGTAACGTTAGACAGCAATCAGTACAGTACCTCTATAGACAGGTTTAATAGTAGATTCCTGTGAGATATACATATTTCTACTTAGGTTTGTGCTTTTGCATCTGGATTTCAGCCTAAATTATTCTGTTTATTTTCTCAGTACCATTAAAATTCACCATGTGCATGCTGATTACAAGTTACATGTTGAAACACGCATAATTTGTATTGTGAGGCAGCTCAGTGAAGGTGCTTCTCCAAGCATGCACAGTGGTGCAGACGTGCCTGCTTCCTTATTTGTTCCCAAAAAATGACTCCCAAGGGAAGGCCAAGGGGCCCAGAGCATTTTTTCCCATTTCTGCTCGGGCAGCGAGCCTGTAGTTCATTTCCTTTTCCACCAGGTGCCCAATTATTCCAAAATCCAGGGTGATTTATATGTCTTTTCAGGTTCACTAGCACCAACAAGAAAGAGCAGGGTGAATATTTAACATTATCAAGGGGAAGAAACTGCAGCAAAAATTGTCTCCATCACACCGTGCAGGCTTACATTGTTCATGTGCCTTGGCAGGGCCCAGCTGGGTTGTACTTTGCATTCTTTCCAATGGGCATAGTAGGGGGGCCCTGCAGGAGAGGGAAAGGAAGAAAGAGCACACTGAAACAGCTCCCACGGATGGCAGTGCCTGAAAGGTGCATACAACCCAGGCAAGCATGGGGAAGCTTGTTGATTGTGGCTAATTAAAATGTTCCCATCTCTCCTCTTTATTTGCTCTTTAAAGGCAATATTGCAGAGAAGGTTGCTTAGAAGAGAAAGTGGTAACAAGGAGTTGTAGGGTAAGAAACCACAGAATTATAGAGGATCATGGTATAGAGGATACTATTCAGTATCATGATGCCAGATTACCGCTATGCTAGCAGTGACCCCCAAACGCTTACTAAAATGCATCAGGATAGTTTATTTTTCCATTCATATTAATTTATAAATTACTTAATAAAGGAGTATTTGACAATGAAGTAACCAATGAAATGCTCTCCATATTATGTCACTGCTTAGAGAATTTAAGGCTTTAACTGGGAGCAGATGTTCAGGTCTGAATCCCATTTTCTCTTGACAGTTCTTCCTGAATCACCCCCTAATTTCTCCATTTGCAGCCTGTAATTTCTGCATTTGTTGTTGGTTTTGTACTTTCACAACATTTCCTCCTATCCATGAGATGGTTCTGTGCTAGGAATTCAAGCCCCTGGAACAAAGAATCAGATTTCCTGGAGTCTGGGGTCTGCCTTCATTCTTTATGAGACCTTGGGGTCACCTTTATTTTCCAGAGCCTCAAATCCATAATTGTACAAAAGACCTGCCTTTTTTCTTGCTTCACTAAGCATGTCTCCATGTATCTCTGGGAGCCCTCTGGTCACTGGAGTTGGGCTGAATCCCTCAGCACATCCCCAGGCACACCGGCCTCCTCTGCTGCCTGGAGACTGTGCGTTTTGCAGTGTGTGTGCCTCACTCCCCTGCATGTGCTCTCATAATGGAAAAGAGTAGTGGCAGCAACTGAGTCGTCACTTTTTGCTCAGGGTTTCCAATGCATCTGCTGTAAAGCCTTGAGGCCACTTTCATGTGCATATTATCATTATTTTAGAAATGAGGTGCCGTAGACTCCAAGATGCTGTTACTTCTCAAGGGCACATAAGTAGCCAGTGGCAGAGCCACAATTTTAGAAATGTCAGTTGACTCCAGGCCCCAGGCCCTTCCCACTCATCACCCTTCTGCGTGGACACTGCACGGCAGGGAAAGCACCCTGTGCTTTCTCTGGGCTTTTTTGGCATCCTGTGTGTGCAGCCTCATGGCTTTTTTTGTTTCCCTCAACTCATCCATAAGGGCTGAGGTTCTGTGCTGCTTAGCAAAAGCGTCAAGAAGTGAGGCTAGAGGAAAGAGGAGGAGGTAGATGTAATTTTGCCAGTGACTTTTAGGAAAGGTGCAAATACTTGCTTTTTCTTTCCTTGGAGAAGTTTGCTTCCCTTATCCATGGTGCTGCCAAAGCAAGATAACGTAAAAGGTGACAACTAAAAGCTGCCTTTTGATCATTTTTCCCCCCAGTTTCTCTCCCGTCTCCTCCCTCCTTCCTTGCCTCCTCCTCTTTCTCCACTCCTCCCAGATTTTTCTATGAAGAGGATTTAAATGTTCATAAGCCCAGATGAAAAGCTTTGGGGAATGTTCAGCCCAGGTGTTTTCAGATTCCTCCATCGTCAGGATTCAGTTCTTTAAATCCCTTTTTTTTCCCTCATGAGGGCTGATCTGATCTCACAGATTGGCTTCCTTACCTTTTTCTCTGCCACCAGCATTTCTCTAGGCAATAATGAGGATGATTAGTTCACATTGAGCTAAATAACCAAAAATTGACTTCTCTGCTGGTGTTTTGGCATTTTTTGGTGAGATTTATAGCCCTTCAGTTGTTGGTAAAGTTCAGTCATTTGTTTGACAAAAATTTATTGAGTGCCTACTGTGTGCAGGGCAGAGGTCCTAAGCTGTATCACAGCATAAGATACTTACAATGTTGCCCTCATAGAGCTCTACAGTCTAATGGGAACTTGGAATAATCAATAGGCAACTAAGGTATTGTGCAGTGACTTCTGTGATGAGAACATACAGTGCCAGGAAGCAGTGATCTAGACTCCCAGGGTCAGCAAGAGTTTTCCAGGACAAAGCAATGTCCAGCTGATGCCAAAGTCACTGTAAGATCCTCACTGTGCTACCTGCAGCTTCCCCATGTCCACCTACAGTGAGTTCTCAACATAGCAGACAAGTGGTCCTCTGCCCCAGACCCTCCAGGAGATTCCAGTTCCCTTGAAGAAGAGTCCCTCATCCTGACATGCCCTGGTCAGGCCCACCTGCCCCTTCTGGCTTATCCCTTTCTGCTCACTCTACTCTGGCCGCTGGCCTCCTTGCTGTGCCTTGAACTTTCTAGGTGTCTCAGGACATTTGCACTTCCCTCTGCCTGAAATGACCTTCCCTAGATATCCGCAGGCCTCTGCTCCAATGCCACTTTCCCATTGAGGTTTCCAGAGATCACCCTACATAAAATTTATTTTGACCAGGTCCTCACTCATGGCTGGTTCTCTGCCCCTCTTTCCATACTTCATTTTTCTGGCTAGCACTTACCACATTCTGATGGAGAATTTATTTACCTGCTTGTTCACTGTTTCCTCCTACTAGGACATAAGCTCGTGAGAGAGATTACAGATGCTCAATAGATATTTTTTAAATGTTGAATAAATACATAAAGGAGTGGTACTCCACTAGGTGAAGGTAGAAGGGAGGTTGTTTCCAGTAGAGGAAAGTGCAAAAGCCCAGTAGTCAGGAGTGTGTGGTGCATTTGGGAAAATAGGAGGTGGCTTTCTATTGCTGTAGCTGGAGTTTAAGGAAAGAGGTGATGAGAGAAGGCTGAAGGACAGGGCTGGGCCATTCACAGCCTTGAAAGCTGTGTTAGGAAACTGGGTGTATATTATCTTCGATCTAGACAGTGGAAACTATTAAAAGATGTAAAGGCTTAGAAGGACATGATCAGATTTGTGTTTTAGAAAGATCCCTGGTTTCCTAGTTGAGAATGCCCTGGACAGGTTATGAGTGGATAGTTGAGACCAGGTGGAGTTTACCATAGTAACCAAGGCATGGAATTATGAAGCCACTGAACTTGAGGTACTGACAAAAGAGATGGCATGATGGGGGCAGGTACAATCACTAGTCTGGGTATGGAAGGTGAAGAAATGCAAGACATCAAAGATGATACCCAAGGTTCTGGTTTGGGGAACAAAGTGAACAATGTTTCCATTGCCTGAGCTAGGGAAAAGAGAGAAGATGAGAGGATAGATGGGGGGTTGGGGGGCGCAGTGGGAGGCAAATGATCTAGAGTCTCCCTGTAAGGTTGTGTACAAAGTGCACTGTCCAAGAATACATGGATAAGGTGAAGAAGTGTAGACTGGAATCCAGCCCTTCTTCCATTCATTGACCTTGTGTCTGTCTCAGAGCTACATCTGCCAGGAAAGAGAGGCACCTCTTTCTAGTTACTACTAAGGCATCATACAGGCTAACCACAGCCCTGAGATGAATTTGATTTTGAACTTGTTATAGGTGAATTGCTTGTGGGATAACAAACAGAAATAATTATTAAAAATTTAGGCATACAGATCTGGAGCCTTAAAAATGGATCTGGGCTGGAGATTCAGGTGTTAAAGTCATGTCCTTGTTGAAACCAAGAGTGAATGACATCCATCAGTGGAATAAATAGTGAGAAGAGGGTAAGTGTTGGTGTTCAAAGGCCAAAAACACAGTGTAAATCAAACTTTCAGTTCTTATTTTATGGGCACTTGGTGGAAAAAAAGTACCTTAGTCACCAGTACTGAGTTCTTTCGTTGGACACATATGGTGATTCATGATTCTATTATATGGCACCAGGGGGTGAGAGAGCATGTCTGTTTCCCATCATAGAATTATTAAGATAAATGGATCGATGAAATTTTTAGAAATATCACAAACAGCCTTTTCAATATTACCTGGAGCCGCCTTTTGAAACTTATGGAGAGATCCTCCTATTTCAAAATAGGATACATAATACTGTGATTTTCCTCCTTGGAAGCCTCATGTACATTAAATGTATTTTTAAATGTTTGTTAATTTACTCTTGCAGTATTCCATCTGCAGTGAACCTCTAATAGAGCTGTCCAACCCCGGAGCCAGTGGATCCTTGTTTTTTGTGACCAGTGATGATGAATTTATCATCAAAACAGTTCAGCATAAAGAAGCTGAGTTCCTTCAGAAGCTACTGCCAGGCTATTACATGGTAAGTAACTGCACGTTAACAAAAGCTCCTACTCAAGGGTTGATTACTTTCTTCAACAGTTTTTTTTTTACCTGGTTGTTTTTTTGTTTGTTTCAGTGATTCTTAGGCATGTTTCTTTCTCTTCGGTGAGTTTTGTTTTGCATTTAGGTCATCCTACAACATTCATTGACTAGATCTTAAGAAGTACAGTAGAAGTGAGTGGCAGAGCACAGTTTTTCACTGACACAGTCTAGGTTCAAATCCCAACTCAGCCATCAACTAACTGACCATGTAAGCAATGTCACAGTTGGCCCTGGTCTTTAAAAGCTGGGAAATACCTGTCTTACCTGGTGATTGTGATAAAGAAGGGATACAGGACGTAGGATAAAGGAAGCAATGCATTCTAAGACTCTTTGCACCCAGAGCATAGTAGTGATATGAATGGTTAGGGTTCATTGAGTGCTAAGCTGCGTGTTAAACACAGTTGTAAGTCTTTTGCACACATTAATTCATTTATTCCTCACAGCAACCTTACATGCCGTAATCATTGCCATGTTGCCATTTAATAGATAACGGTAATTGAGACAAAGATAAAAGGAGTGACTTGCCAGGGGCTATTCAGCTCCTGAGCTGCAGAGCCGCATTTTTAACCCCTGCACTCTATACCAGCTTGTATTCAGTGTTATCCATTCTCAGCCACTATGCTTCAGAATTTAGGACTTCATAGGTCAAATATTGTAATGTGAAAGTCACCTTTCATGTAATATTTTATAGACAAACAGTAACCAAGCCAGGTGGACTTACCAGATATTTAGTCCAATTTTTTTAAAATAAACTTTTCCTAAGGGCCTTGTCATTTTCATACCTCTGGTTTCTTTGGACTTTCATAGCAGTTACTGATTTTCTGTGATTGGAATGCTATTGGAAAAAGTTTGGATCTCTGAGGCCTCAGTTCTGCCATTCAGTTGCTGAAAGAGATGATAACCATCATCTTTGTTTCAAAACAAAATTGATAGGGTGACACACAGCTCATTTGTATGTAAAAAGCATTATTCAAAAATCTGCTGGAGACAACATTAAATGCTGTAAATTAATCCCATGTATAAATAGAGGAGTCACAAATGAAAATAAAAATATTAGTGGATGGCAGCCACAGATTTTAAAAGGTTTTCATCCTGAACGAAGCTGGGAGGTATTTTTTTTAGAGCAAATTGTCTACTTTACATTAGAGAAAATAGAAAATGCAAAAAAGAAAAAATGCAGCCAACTGTAATTCTTTTCTCAGAGATACGTATTTGGTGAATTTACTTTCAGGTGTATTCTGTTCAAACATACATTTTTAATAATACAGAATTGGGATAAAACTGACATTGCACTCTTTGCTAACCTGCTAAGTGAATAAATCTTGAACTTCTACAATTCTGACCTTAGACTTCTCTTTTGTTCTAGAACCACATTGTCCAACATATGTCCATTTAGCCATGTGTTGCTATTAAATTTAAATTAATTAAAATTAAATAAAAATTTTAAATTTAGCTGAATAAGTGGTTTTATCCCAATCACATAAGCTAGTATAACAACATAGTTCATGCCATTCACAAAAAAAATGTGAACATCATGTGGTATCCACAGAGACATTGAGAATAAACTAATGCACTCAAAACTCAACATCTTCTTGTAATTAAAATTCTTTAAATGCGCAGGGACGTTTTTAACCTAACAACTAAATACGAACACACATATTATACATTTATTTGTCCCCAAGAGTTCACATAATATCTTGTGGAGAAGAACAGGGGCCCTTTCACAGGAAATAATAGAAAAATAAGGATGTACTCCATAAATTGTTCTTTCTGATATATTTGCTAGAATTTCTAGCAGTAGCTCTTTGAATACAAGAAGAAATAGAAGAAAAGTGTGAACACTGTTCTGTGCAAATGATACAATTGGAAATGAGCAAAACTTCAAGAAAATAAATCAGTAGTTTCTAAAAATAATGAGAGTCCAGCAGATTTGCAAGCTATGATAAATGTACAAATCCACTGTATTCCATTATGTAGATCATAGAGAGGAGGACTATCAGGGGAAAAAGAGACCTCATTCATGACAACAATGATTTATGGTGAACATTATTAGAAAAGTAAAGATATAAATAAATGAAGATATAATTCTGATTGGGAAAGCAGGTTCTAATAATATAACATTTGAACAAATAATCCAGAAAGAATTCTCGTAATAAGAACTCTAAAATACTTGCCTATAAAAACAGATGTACAAGAATATTATGAAGGAAACTATGAAGTGTATAGAAGGACATAAAAATGTTCTGACATAGTGAAGAGATCTGCATCATTCATGAACTCAGCAATGCAAAGATTTCAGTTCCCCCAGTCCACTTATAAATCCAGTCTAACTCCAATCAAATTTCCAAATTTGATGAAAAAATTAAACAGTGGAAGGGAAAGGTTGTAAGAACGGAAAAAATATTTTTTGATAAATCAGTGCAGTTCTAAACAAACAGATCAGTGGATTCAAAGTAAGTGTCCAGAAATAGACCCCTGTATATTTACAATTTCTTGTATGAAACAGGAAGGCCTCAAACTCAATGAGGAAAGGACAGTCTATTCAGTAAATGATTCCATTTGGGGGGAAAAATTAAATTCCCTATTTTGCACAGAAAAATAATTTCATATAGAGTAAAAACCTAATGTAATGACTGAAACTTCAAATTTGGAAGAAAATAGACAAAATTTACAACCTTTCAGTATAAAGAGATCTGCTAAACAAGAAACAAAAAGCACAAGAAAGAGGTACAGAAATGTGACTACATCAAAAGGCAAAACATATGTGTGGCAAAACATCTGTGTTACAAAACAGCAGACACAGAATGAACACAAGATAGAATATTTCTGGAATGATAGATGCAAAGAAAATGGGAACAATGGTTTCCTCAAAAGCTGGGTATTGGGAGGAGGATCAGGGGTAGTAGAGAGACTTTTCATTGTATAAATGCCCTGTAGTAAACTGTTTTTAATTTTGTACTCACTTTTAATGTGGAACAAAAATAAGCATACATTATTTTTATAATAAGAAAGACAACATCCTGGAAGAAAATATTTGCCTCATACAGGTTAGAAAAATGGTAAATATCCAGAATATATAGCTCTGATAATGACAAAAACCTATGGAAAAATAGGCAAAGGATATTAACACAAAATTGTCTTCAAGGTGCTGAAAGTATGTCAGAAATATTAAATTTAATAATCAGTGGTGTTCAATTTTTTAAAAACAGAATTCCATTTTTCACCCAGTCATGGTACACAGGCTTTAAAAATCTGGTAACATTCAGCATTGGCGAAGAGTGACGAGAAACGTGTCATATTATGAAGTGTGATTGTAAATTGGTCTAGCCCTTTTGGAAGACAGTTTTTTAGAAGCTATTAAAATTTAAAATGTTCCTCCTTTATTCACGAGCAGTTAATTTTCTTTCTAACTGCCTAGGAGAATAGTCACACATGGCAGTAATCAATTCTTTGCCTGATTTTAGTTGGAGCTAATTTGGGACATTCTGTCCATTTTCAACTCAGCCGCTTTTAATGCTGTGAGTTTAGAATGATGAAGCTGCTGTTCCAAGAAGCTGACCTACGAACTAGATTAGAAACAGCAAAATTTTAGCAATGGCTATTAATAAAGATAATCACATTCCATTTTGAATTATCATATTAGGTGACAGCACATCTTTCATGGAACATTATGTTGTGAAAACAGATTTTAAACATGGTTTCCTTTTTCTCCTTTTAGAATTTAAACCAGAATCCAAGGACTCTTTTGCCAAAATTTTACGGACTGTACTGCATGCAGTCAGGGGGCATTAACATCAGGATCGTGGTGATGAACAACGTCTTACCACGCTCCATGAGGATGCACCTTACTTATGACTTGAAAGGCTCTACATACAAGCGGAGAGCATCTCGAAAAGAGAGAGAGAAATCCAACCCCACATTTAAGGACTTAGATTTCCTGCAGGACATGCACGAAGGGTTGTATTTTGACACCGAAACGTACAATGCGCTCATGAAAACACTTCAGAGAGACTGCCGGGTAAGGAGATGTTGCTGTGACTTCCTTTGAAAGGTCATCTGTGATAATGTAACCTTTGTCAGGAAGGCCCAAAACAGACTGCTTCCTAATCCTGGTGGTGGCCCACGCCTCCTTGATGTTGAAGAGATTAGTGAATGAGAAGGGAATTGTCTGGAGTGGCTGTTGGTTTTATGAGTAAGCTAGGTCAGCTAAGCCTTTGAGAAGATGAAACAGGAATTTTTTTTTGTTTCTTTTCATCCTGCCCTGTGCGGAAGGTGGTTAAACTGGAGGGAAAATAAGTTTAGGTTTAATGTAGTGATTCACAAGAAAAGCCATATACAAATCTGGAAAGAGATAAGGTTCCAACCTTGGAGAGAAGTTTAGAGAACATGCTCTTGGTGGGATTGATAAGCAGATTCCTGGATATCCAATGTGAATGCAGAACCATGAGGTGAGCGTACATTTGCCAAAATTGTTTTAGGCGAACTGAGTAAGAGGCAATCAGAAATGAGTCTCAACAGTTAGAGCAAAGACCATCACACGCAAACTTAGCCAGTGATTGTCAAAAGAAAGGAGGAATTCACAGTCCCAAATCCCTCAGTCTGCAATACTTAGAAAAATTAATAAATAAAGCCAAGACCCAGGAAAGACTTTTCTGATGTGGTGAATTTACCAAAAATAGGTAAAAGTTTTTTTGGAGAAAAAGATGACACTGAAACTCTCATGTCTTCTGAAGGGTGATGATCATTTGCTTAGCACATTCTCAGAAATATCAATTCCTGGCCCAGATAAACTTGGAGATGCATCTGGGTTCTCGGCTAAGTTGGGTGTAGTGGAGATGAGCAGAAGGCATGCTGGCCAGCAAGGACTCACCAGGCCTGGGCCTGGGAAATACGGGGTGTGCCTTCCAGGCTGTGGCCTTCTGGGCCTTCTGTGAGCCTGGACAGATGAGCCACATTGTTGCAGGGGAGGGGAACCTTTCTCTGCTAGACTCAAGCTCACCTGTAGGGGAGGAAGGCATTGTAACCATTCCATGTAATGTACAAAATGGGGGATTGTCACTGAGAAGCAGTCCTACTATTTTATAGGTCTTTTCTCTCTACATGTTATATCATGTATGATGATGCACAAAGATGTGTCCTTGCAATAGTTTATCTCATTGATAGAGATGTTACTCCACAGTTCCTATTCTTTAGCTACTATTTATTGAATGCTTAGAGTGTGACACGCTAGGCTGAGATTATTTTGATGCGTCATTTCATTTAATTCTCTCAGCACCCGTTTGAAGTCAGTACCACTCATACTCCCATTTTAATTGGTGACCAATTGGGTTCTTTAAGAGGCAAAGAAACCTGTCCAGGGTGACTTAGCAAGTCAGTGACAGAGCCTGCACCTGTTTGGGTACAAAGTGTGTTCTGAACAGTTGATATGTAAAGATTTCCTTTAAGGACTTTTTAAAAATTATTTTTTCAGAAGTCAGGAGAATAACAGTGGGAATCAAGCAAACAAAAATATGTCCAGCTGAGCTATTCAGATATCTGGGTGGACATGAGTGATTCATGTTTTTCTTTTAAAAAGAAAAAACAAAACACACATATTTTAGTAGAAACCTTTTCCTGTGCTTTTTCTGCCCTTACAGGATGTGGGTAAAAAGTGACTCTGAATTCCCCAGAGTTGAATACAAGCCTCTCCAGTTTTAGATTTGCTTTCTCTTGCCTACTCCTGCCTTTTTTAATGGAAAGCCTTTTTTCTAAGACTATCTTCTAAGACTATAGGCTCCTATGCCAGGAAAAAAAAAAAGGGAAAAGGAAAAGTCAAATGTAAAAGAACCGTTGTCTGTTTATTAGTGTTTCCTGAGCCCGGTACTGACAGAACAAGGTCAAACAGGACTCTTCATCAGGAAGGAGACCCTGGGGACTTGCCTTTTTATTTTTTGCCTTTGGGAAGATTTGTTATTCTAAGGAAGATCAATGTGGAGGTCCTCAGGCTAACTCCCTCTCACGGGTTGCATGTGATCTTGTATGAGACACAGCTCATGGAACTTCCTTAGACTGCACACGTTTGTCTTCAGAAAGGCTTTCTCGGGGTTGTATGAGAGCATGTAATTGCCTAAGCTGTGGGGAACCTGAGTCCCTTCTGTGATCTGCCTCGATGATGACCAAGGCCTCTGTGATCTGCAGCAAGCAGCTGGTTCTCTGAGCAGAGCTGCCTTGAGGAAGACATGTTTCTGGAATTGTAGGTCTTAATATTTAATAGTCACGGACCTCTTTTCAAAACTGATGTAAGCTGTGTGTTGTCTCCCCAGAGGAGTGCCCATCCACACAGCAGTTCCTGAGTCCCTGGGAGCCCTTCGTACCCCCACCCCCAGGCTGAGACTCCACCTCGCAGCCATGCAATGGCTGTCTCTCTCTCTCTCTTCAGATCATCTTCTGAAGGGCAGCCCCCAGGTGGCTGGGAGAGGGTCTGTGGCTGGCATTCCTGCGAGAGTCTCTTGCCTTAACATCCCCCTCACTTTGCAGAGCTGAGGTGCCATGGAGATCCAGGGAAGATGTGAGGTCACTCCAGGGCTGGTCCTAGAGCCCCACAATCAGGAATCTCTGCTGTTAACATCTAAGTGAGGCAGTGCTGCTAAGGCTCTACAAAGAAGTCCGGGACTGCATGAGTGGGTCAGCAGCCCAGCCAGAGTAAGGTGAACAAGACTGTATTAGAGTATACCCTTTCTCTCACTTATCAGTCATGTACTACAGGTTGACTGTGTGCCAACGTGAGGTGAACACCCCCGACTTTAATCAGTTGCCATACAGTGTATTCAGTGCAATGATACGCTCAAAGCATTGTGAGTTTCAGACTACGTGACATCATAGCTAGGTCTTGAAAGAAGGAGAAGAGTTCTCCAGGCAGGCAAATCAGTGGAAGCACATTCCTAGAAGAGGAAACAATATAAGCCAGCATGAAGTAGCCTGACATGTTCCAAGAACAAGATTTGCCTGGTGTTGGTGGCAGTTAATAGTAAGGGAGAGCATGAGAGGTAGGAGGGAAAAACAGTCCAGAACCAAATAATGTCGAAAGGCCCTTTCTGGTGGTGCCAAGGTCCCCTTGAGGGCTTTGAAGTGGCAAATCCAAGATTCCAGACCTTTGGACCCCAGCTTTTCTATTGTTCCCAGATAGAATAAATCTCCTAACCTCTTGCTGACCTCCTCTTGCTTCCTGCCCACCCCTCTTCTTTCATATTTGAGACCCCAGGAGTCCATTTCCCTAGCATGACTGCTGGCCAGAAAACACCTGCCTGGCTCATTGCCAGCTTGGCCTGCTCCCTGTGGTCTGCTTCCCTGGTTCCTGATCAGAGCCGCTTGCTTCTGGGTTCTGCATCTGCAATGACCTGAACTACCTCACCCCACAGTGAGCCCTCTTGACAAATACCATCTTCCCCTGGCATCCCAGAAGGAAGCCCCACTTCCCTTTCCCCGGCTCCCCCAGCCCTGCCCTGGGGCCATGTCTTTAAGCCTCTGGGATAGTCTATTCTTCACAATCTCCTCCACATAGCACACTGGCCACTCAGAACTCTTGTAGAAAACTGAATGTGCTTTATCCTTCAACCTGGCAGAGCCGGCTTCCCCACAGCATTCAAAAATAGGCCTCATTCCAAAAACAGAAATCCAGATCTCAGGATTCTCCCTGACCCTCACACTGCTGTTCCCTATTGGCTGTGTCTGGCAAAAATAAACATTTAAATAATTGTGTTCTCTTTCTGGAAGTATTTCCTTTCCCTTGGCCTCACCCTCTGCCCCTGGTGACGGCCATCTACATCCTTAAGTGAACTTGGCCCTGGGTAAGAGTTGTGACAGCAGAGCACTGCCAGGACATCATCAGCCACCTGCTGTCAGAAACAGGAAGTGGGGTTCATTCAGACCATCCCGCACAGTCCCCATGTGACAGACAAGGTGAGAGGCATGTCCTAGTTGAAAACTGCTCTTCTCAGGTAGTCCTTCATCTTCCCCCAAGCCTGCTTCTCTTCCTGTCTTCCCTAGCCCAGGGAACATGATCATGCAGCCAGTTGCCCAGATCAGTGTCCTGAAGCTATCCTTTCCCCCCCTTCTTCTTCTCTTTGTTCTTTCTCCACACTCAGTAAATCAGTGTCGCATCCATTCTGCCTCCTAAATAACTCTTGGATCGGCCCCCTCCTCTCCATACACACAGCCACTGCCTTTACTGAGACCCTGAAAATCCTTCCTCTAGAGTTTTGCAGCAGTCTCTTTCAGTATCATTGCCTTCCCACACATCCCAGTGCTGTTACAGCCCTGGGGCCATGTCTTTAAGCCTCTGGGATAGTCTATTCTTCACAATCTCCTCCACATAGCACACTGGCCACTCAGAACTCTTGTAGAAAACTGAATGTGCTTTATCCTTCAACCTGGCAGAGCCGGCTTCCCCACAGCATTCAAAAATAGGCCTCATTCCAAAAACAGAAATCCAGATCTCAGGATTCTCCCTGACCCTCACACTGCTGTTCCCTATTGGCTGTGTCTGGCAAAAATAAACATTTAAATAATTGTGTTCTCTTTCTGGAAGTATTTCCTTTCCCTTGGCCTCACCCTCTGCCCCTGGTGACGGCCATCTACATCCTTAAGTGAACTTGGCCCTGGGTAAGAGTTGTGACAGCAGAGCACTGCCAGGACATCATCAGCCACCTGCTGTCAGAAACAGGAAGTGGGGTTCATTCAGACCATCCCGCACAGTCCCCATGTGACAGACAAGGTGAGAGGCATGTCCTAGTTGAAAACTGCTCTTCTCAGGTAGTCCTTCATCTTCCCCCAAGCCTGCTTCTCTTCCTGTCTTCCCTAGCCCAGGGAACATGATCATGCAGCCAGTTGCCCAGATCAGTGTCCTGAAGCTATCCTTTCCCCCCCTTCTTCTTCTCTTTGTTCTTTCTCCACACTCAGTAAATCAGTGTCGCATCCATTCTGCCTCCTAAATAACTCTTGGATCGGCCCCCTCCTCTCCATACACACAGCCACTGCCTT